ATCCTGAACAACATTCAAGAGATTTTAGCCATCGGTCGGATACCTTGCGTAATGCTAATGTCGGCGGTGGTACTGTAACATTCAAGCCTTATAACTCAAGAAGTACTTAATGAAAAAATATTTTATTATAGTGTTTTGGAAACCTCTCGAGATAAGCTATAAGAATATTCAATGAAAAATGGGGCTTCCCATTTAAAAAAATGACCTTGACCTTCAATTGACCTTGAAAATGAAGGACAAGGTCATTGTCAAGGTCATAGTTCAATCAGCTCCTTCATATCCAACAATTTTTGTTTTAAACATTTTTTTATTTAATCGCGATGTTTCGAGTTATTTGGCTGTCTAAGTTAAAATGTCACCCTGTATACTGTGACGTAACATTTTGTCCGTCACTGTGCGGACTTGTCGACGCGACGACGGACTCGCGCTTCCTACCGGCTCGAAGGGCGAGCGCGCAGGCGAGTGCGCACGCGAGCACGCGTGCAAGCGCACTTGCAAACGTGCGTTAAAACTCACGTCATTTATTTTACTCGGCAGATTTTCTTCTTTTGCATTAGCATTTCTTTTGCGTAATGATGAAGCGTATCAGAAAGCGTAGACGCGCCACAGATCACGCTCGGCAGCTGCTGTGAAATTTCATTGTATCATCGTGTCGTATCGCCCGCCACCCTTGGAAGGAAGACCGAAGGACAGGATTGGAAGGAAGGCCGAAGAAGCTAAGAGAGAAGGACGCACATCCGGGAGCCCGGATAAGCAGGTTGTATTATTTTATATCATTGCTCGTAACCGCTGTCGCATACGAAGGGAACCATACTTTCACCATGCACCCCTTGCAGAGCACCGGAGGCCAGAATTCCCAGCCACCCTTGAGGGGCCGGACGGACGCATAGGGCCCCGACGGGGAGCGAGAAGGAAATCCATCCCGATCTCCTCCACCAGGCCAGGAAGTGCGGGGGCTGTGAGCAGAGACGCCACCCTTGACAGGGACATTCATTGCGCGCTCGTATGAGCCAGGATTCAAGGCCGCGCGGGCCTGCACGGCGCGCGCGGATACCGTGACACGCGGAAGCCAATCAGCGTGACTACCTCCCCCGCAGGGAGGAGGGCGCTAAGCAGCCTGTGAGAATCCGCCGGGAGCTCCCGGGCCTCACTCTTTCTGTGGACGAGTGAGCCGTATCTTGTGAAGAAAGTGCGAGACCGCCGTCGAGGAACCGAGAACCGCGAGGAAGGGAGCAGAGTACCGAGAGGACGGGACGCGAAGGAGACGACGAGAGTGAGACGAGCGTCACGCTTGTAAAGCTGCCGACCGGGGTACGTCTCCGGGTGGATCGCACGTAAGCCAGCTCGCACCGTAACGATAGATCGGCGCAATGGCCGCCGTGTAGAACCGCGGAACCGCGAGCCACGTGCCATTCTCCCGAGCCTTGGAAGTAATTAGCTGTCGCATTTAGAGAGTCAGAGTAAGGGGAAGAATATTCATTGCCGAGTTGAAGTAAATTAGAGTCGTTCGGAGAGAATCGAGGGCCGAGTCGCGCTCGTTCCTCTCGCCACAGGAGAGTCACTTCCGATTTCCGAATAGAGTAGAGTCGCGTAGAAACGCGTAGAGTAGTCACGTTGTCGAGTCTCGTCGTGTCGCGTAACGACGCTTATTGTAGTTGCTTTACCGTTTAGTATCGCGTCGCGTAGGCACGCTTGCTATAATTGTGTCGTTGAGCATTGTGCTATCGCATCGGAACGCGGATTGTCGCGTTGCCGAGTTAACTTCCGTTTGTGGTGTTACCGAGTAGAGTCCGTTTCCGGGATTCACGTTGTCGAGTAGAGTCGTGTCGCATAGAGGCGTTCGCTATAATCGCGTCGCACCATCGTCGTGGCATCGGCCGCGGGCCGGCGTTACACGTCCGGGAGTCTGATGGTACAGCGGGTATGAGTTCTTGCAGGTTGTCGAGGGGCAGGCGTTTGACACCGTCGGAAGATACCGCGGGGGAGGTCGGAGCTCGTGCTGTAGCGTATGACCGGCATCCGGCGCTAGAAGTAAGTTAGCGGCTCTCTGTGCGAGTACCGAGAGTATCGAGTAGAGCGAAGCTCTGGAAAGTACTTGTAATTACATCACCAATGTAATTAGTCCTACTTTATCATATTTCCTCAAATATAATTGTTCTTATTATTACGCTCTCGCGTAGTTTATTCTTGTGACCTATCTCTCTCGCTCTCCGACAAATTTCCCACACCTCTTGCGACCCACCCCCTGCCGTCGCGAATCGGTTACGGGCAAAAGTAAAGAGATTTCGGAAAGAGTGGCACGCTCTCTCGTACCTGGCGCTCAACTTAGTAATAAGAATTACAATTTTGGCCGAAAAACCGCCTGGTTGTCGCAAAATTCAGTTACCGAGGGAAAGAAGATACTTTTGCGTACGAAGAACACGCGACGAAGTTGTGCCGTTGCTCGCGAGTACGGTTACAATACATGTCTACAAAACTAATAAAATAAACATGAAATTAATATTGTAGTATTAATAACAATACTATATTATCAATTTCTTACTCTTATGCTTATTTTCATCAACGTAGATTAACTTTAATCAAGATTCGACTTGATATTTTCTAATTTTTATAATTAGAAACCGAGATTAAAGTTAATCAACGTTGGTGAAAATGGATATTAATCACTTAAATTTTAACAGTCACGCGAATTTCCTTAAGATCAGCCGTCTTTAATAGTATCTCGGTGCTTTTGATTATCGATTTTGTATTTCTCACTTCGTCATCTACCATTTTAAAAAGAATGGTCGAGTATAACTAGTATAAGTATCATTCAAGTATTTTTGAAGTGGATAATTGAAGCTCTATTTTATTCATATTTTTACCAAATTATAATTATTTTTTTAATTTGGTAAATTTTTTCTAAATTCTCAGTATACCTTTTTTATGGATAAATGTATTATATGTTTTCATATTATGTTTTTTATACATATATAATTGTAAAAGTTGTTTGATATCTTTACAATTTTATACTTACTCATACTTCCACTGCCAAATTTTCTTAATAAATTCTTCTCTACCAATATCATGACGAGATTTCTTTTCTTCCTTCCACAACTTTTTCTCTACGACCACTTGAGTGGCGATACCTGCATGATCGCAACCTGGATTCCAGAGTGTCGTACGCCCTTTCATACGGTTCCTAAATCAATTGCAATCGACTACTTAAGACTGTAACACACGTACGCATATGCGCGCGCTTACATGCACATATACACATAACAGCTGTTCTAATCTTTTTAAAAATATCAAATTATTTCTTGAATTGATGTAATATTTATACCATCTAGTAATAGCATCTTCTACAGCATTAGTCAGAGCGTGTCCGAGATGTAAGAAACCAGTTACATTAGGTGGTGGGATTATCATTACAAAATTTCCTTTTGGATTTTCTTCTAATATATCTTTTCTCTAAAATAAAATTTTAATATGTACACAGATAAATATGTTTTAATCCAATGATACATCTACAAATTGTTATATTTTTCGATCTCTCATTTACTAACGCCATATTCCGGTTTAAAAAAACCTTCCTTTTCCCACCAAGCATACCATGCGGCTTCTACATATCGTGGGCTATATGTATCTGGTATCGGGCATATAACATCTTTTTTTTCTCCAGGTGGTGTATTGATGCTATACAAAATTGCTGTAATATCTTTTCTCTTATCATTCTTCTAAAACATATTAAATTAATAAATAAACTAGGTTCTAATAATATATAATAAGTAATAATAAGGCTCTACAAGTATAAAATATACAATTTGACAACAAGGGCTAAGAGCCGGTTAAATAACAAAAAAAGTTTAATTTAAAACATGACGATGAAAATCATTACAAACGTTTCAACCCCGATCGAGTCATTTTCAATGTAACAATAAATAAATTATAATTGTAAAATTGTCGGAACTATACATGTCTTCTACATGTCCTGTATTATAATGTCGCAAGTTAATAACTCTTAAAATCGATAAACTCATCATTGAAAATTCTCGGCAGTAACACAATAATAATCTTATTGAAAAGAATGTTAAGAGTATATAATAGAAAAGAACACGCAAAATAGTGATCCACATCATGATAGGTTCTAATATTTTTATCTCATAAGTACCGTCGTAGCACCAGTTATCGACGGGTACCCAGTTATTGATACGAGATGTCAGAATTAGTGAAAATTAATACTTACGTGCTTGAGGTTCGTGATAAAATAATGTGAAAGGTAAGCAACATAAGTTACTTAGATATATCATAATCAAATTAGCCATGGGTAAAAGCCTGAGCAAATGTAAATATTGGTAGGCTTTATTATCGCGCATAAACAGTTTCATATTTTTATCAATATCGTTAACGTTCAGGTTAAGGTGTACCATACAGTTCGGTCATTTGTATAAATCGGTAGAAAAGCTTAATGCAAAGTATACTTTCTGTATACATAAAGTAGTATTTACTGTATTCAATTTTAATATTACTCAAGTATACTTTTTTCTATATTTTCGTATATTTTCAATTTGTCAATAAATGGTCCATAAAAACAACATAAACGTAGTTATCGCATATAGCGTCAAAGACTAGAGATGAAGTCAGATTTTGAAATTTGTTGGATCATTAATAATTAATAATATTAAAACTAAACATACTTTCTAGTTATTTGGAATTTTTTTATAAAAAGAGCAGTTATTGACAAATGATAAAACAATAGAAATGTTAAAATAAATGGTATAAACT